GATTTTTGTATGTTGATTTTGTATCCTGCAACTTTACCATATTCGTTTATTACTTCTAAAAGTTTTCTGGTGGATTCTTTAGGGTTTTCTATATATATGGAGATTCTTAAAGAGCCAAGGTGACCGAGCTCCAGGCTCCCTGAGATTCTCCAGGTCTTCTGTCCCCACCCAGAGCGTGGACCATCGACTCTGGGGAGACAAGGTGCCTCCCAGCAACTCCTGACTTTGCCGGACTCCAGCTGATCATGAATATGAGGGACTGAAGGTGTGGGGGCCTGTAGAATGTGCATGAAGAGTCCACGGGTGCATGCAGAGCTTCGCAGTTGGTGTCTGGAGCAATGTTATGAGTCAGACTGCCTATGTTGAAATCCGGGCTATGTCTCTTTCTATGATATGACCTTGGCCAGGCTCCTTAACTTTTTGGTACCTCAGTCTCTTCCTCTGCAAAATGGAGATAACTACATCTGCCCGGAGTCTTGTTGTGAGGATTAAATGAGTTAATGCATGAAACTGCTTGGAAGAGGGACACATATTGCACTTTGGGAGGAAGAGGGCTAATGATAGAAACGGTTCCTCTTTAGGCGTCACTGCCCTCCTTCTTTCCCCCAGAATAGATCACCAAACTCCCTTAGTCTGGGCCATTTCCATAGCTCTCTGCTGCCCCCTGCTGACCTCTGGTTGATACTATTAGTGTAACTCGGTTCTCTTGGCTTCAGATACCTCCATTTTTCTACAAGAACCGTATTCTACAACCAGGCTGAAACACAGATCATTCCTCTAAAATCTCAGGCGTCTGTGCCTTGGCCTATGCTGCTTCTTCCACTGGGAACGCCCTTCCTCCCTCCACATCAACCTGTCATGCCCACCTCACATGCCATGACACTCCCGTAGCCTCCCTGTGCTCCTCCATAAAGAGTTCTCCCCCTCACATAACCCTCCTAGAGCGCATGAGTCATTCCTCTCGTCACAGTCTTCTCTGTGCTGTAATTAGTTTTCAACTCGCCTTACTGCCTCTTACCATTAGATCAAAACTATGCCTTGTTTGTCTCCGTTTCCCCGCAGCGCCCATGTCACACCGTGATTCCCTCTTTACAAAGACATGCTCAGCCAGTACTTACACCATAAACGGAGCCTCGCTGTGGCCATGCTGCCCGGCTGCGTTCTCTCTCTCACTACCTCATTTTATCTACTGCAGTAACCTCCTAACTGGTGCACCCAGATCCACTCTGGATCCACCTCCAACCCATTCTCTACACTGCAATCAAAGCGTGCTTTCAGAGAGAAAAAATGGTTATTCTGGCATCTGTCAGCCTCCTGCCCTTTCAACTGCTTCTCACCACTTTAGGATAGAGTCTAAAGTCCTCATTGTGGCACAAATCTGGCAAGACCTCTTCCCTTGTTCTCTGACCTGCAGCCACACTGCCTTCTTCCAGTTCCTGCAACACTAGGCTCTCCAGCACAGGGATTCTTCTCCAGCTGCTCCGTCTGCCAGGGAGCCTCCTTCCTACCTCACCCCTCCCCAGTCCACTCTTCAGAGCTCAGCTCAAACACTACTTCCCAAGAAAACTTCCCTGATCCCCCTTTGTAGGTCTGATTCGCCTATGCATGCTCTCAGAGCAATATCTCCGTATCTTTCTAACAAAAAAACTCATCGTAGTTTTACGTTTCCATTTGCACTCATTAGATTCACGCTTGTCTTCCCTATAGGACCATAAGTTCCACGAGGACAGAGTTGTCCCTGCTTTTCTTCACCGTTGTATTCCCATCGGCAGCCTAATGCCACACGCAGGGTAGATACACAATAAATATATGTTTAATGAGTACACAAATCAAAGGACCCATGCTAAACAGAATCTTAGCCAAGGTGTCAATATATAAGTATGTTAATCTTAAAACCTTATGTTTATTCCATTTCTATCATTCATATTTAGGTCATTCAATATAGATAGAAAGGTAGGTAGATGGATAGATAGATACGTACATAGATAGATAGATAGGCAGGCAGACAGACAACAGGGCTTCTCCGAGCCACATTCAACAAGCAGCCAGCAAGACTCTCGTGACGCTTACCCTCGGTGCTCATGTCTGGGGTCGGCATCCAGATGTAGGCCAAGCCTTCTTCCTTGTATAATTTAATCATTGTGTCTGGGGTCATGGGTTCTGGGTATCGGTTACAGCCTGCAGAGTTCTGTACAATATCCCATTCTGTCTGGAAATTCATTACGGCTGTAATCCCCAATTCATGCTTCAGTTTGATGGTTACGTGCTCCACTTGGCGAGGGCAGCTACCCAGCCAGATATTCGGTAGAATTCTAATGAGAACATACAGAGTCAACTATTACTCTTGTTCTTATGATTTGACGTCTGAGGAGCTGCAGAAAACAGGTAGCATTAAAATGCAATTAACCTTTAAATCTGGCGTGGGAAAAAACTATTAAAATATGAGAATCAATATTATTATCGAAAGAAAAATATATTGGCTTTGCTTTGGGGGAAACAAATAATTCAATTACCTAGAATACCAGGAAATAGGCATTAGCAAACCAAATCTAGCAATATATTAAAGTAAATCCACCAAGTTATACTTAGTCCATGAATGTACATGTGGTTCAACATTATGAAACCCATCAACATATTTCAAACACTAACAAATTAAAGGCAAAATTCCTATGATTATATCAAGAAATTCTGGAAAACATTTGCTAAAATTCAACGATCATTCCTGTTTAAAAATCTAGATAAAAATTTCAAATAGTTCGAGACCTTGAAACATGCTGAATACTGGAAACTGACAAACAACAATCTTCTTTTAAATAAAATCAAAGTAAAGATTATTTCCATTAGCACCCAACATTGTTCTATATGTTTCACCTAATACTATAAGATGAAAAGAATACGCATAACTATCAGTAAAAATGAGAAAACAATATCACTATTTTTTTAAGTATGACTCAATATCGAAATTTCCCTAAGGCTGGGCCCCACCCTCAGAGTTTCTGAGTCAGCAGGTCTGGATTGAGAGTCCAAGGATCGGATTTCTAACAAGTTCCCGCGTAACACCGAGGCTGCTAGTTCAGGGGCCAAATCCTGAGAACCACATCCCTAAGAGATTCAACTACAAACACTATGCAAAGTATTTAAAGTATTAAGATTAAGATATCTGGATGAGGGAAAATATACAAAAATCAAACAGCTTTTCTCTCTACTGGCTTGCAAACAGTTTTTCTCTCCCTTTTCTGTCTGCCTGTGTGCCCGCCTATCTATCTGTCCATCTACCTACCTACTTTCCTATTTACCTTTTTATCTCTATTGAAGGGGAAATCTCATTCAAAAGTAATAACAAAATTATAAAACATCTAGAAATACATTTAACCAGAAAGAACTACGAAATTTTATTAGAAGACATTAAAAAAAACCCAACAGATAGAGAGACACAATGCTCTTTAATTGGAAGACTTAAAATCATAAACTGTAAATATCATAAAAATGTATATATTTTCCAAATTAATATATAAGTTTAATGCAAATTATTATAACCTATTATATATGGTATATATTGTCTTGTTCACTAATTACTTCACACATGTACATTCTCTCCAGAACTAATGTGTAGGTACTTTATTTCAAACTTCACTTGAATTATGTCACCTAGCCCTTTGCTAGGTTCATTAGTGGGTATTCAGACAACAGTCATCAGATAATGATGGCGGGCATCACCGATGCTCATCAGGATTCCCAGTATCCCCTTGCAAGCATGGAGGACCAAATTCCTCTCAGCCTCAAAGTTAGCCATGGCCATATGCCTTGCTTTTGTCAATCAAATGGGAGCTGGAGTGGCATGTGTCACTTCCAGAGGGACACATTCAAGACCTTATGCTTGATTCCCTACGTGCTCTCTTCTCCTGCTGCAATGATCATGAAAGCATACGTGGACGCTGAGCTGCTAGAAGATTGAAGGAACCTGGAATGTGTGGCTATCTCACCCAGGACAGACACCCTGGAGAGCTGCTGGCTTGTGTCTTCAACCAATTCTGGCATTATTTGTTATCACACAACATATCCTGACTTGTTCCCACTGATACAATGCTTAAATAATTAATTGCTTGAAGTCTGTAATGTGCAGGAAAGAAATGGAGCAGAGGATCTACACTTTTACTTAGTTACTTTCATATTGAGCTTAGAGCAGTCATTCTCAGCTGGGGACAGATTTGCTTCCGAGGGGATATCTGGCGATGATTATGGAGACATTTTTGATTGTCACACTGGGTGGTGCTATTGGCATCTGGTTGATTGAGACCAGGGATGTTGCTCAGCATCCTACAATGCACAGGACAGCTCCCCACAACAAAGAATTATCAAGTCCAAAATGTCAATCATGCCAAGGTTAAGAGGTCTTGCTTTAGGGGAATGAAAGTGGAGTAGAACTCCTTCTTATTTGTAGGAAGAAAGGAATGTAAGCAGGAGTAAGACCAGCATATCTGACACAGAGTTTGTGGCTCATTGGTTGTGTGGTTCTGATGATAATATGACATTCCATGTCATATTTTAAAATATGTATGTACATAAAGAGAGATCTAGAGATGAAGCAAAAGCCTAATACTAGACAGTTGAACAGCACTGTAACACTTTCAGTATGGTATAAGGAAAAAGGCACTAAACACAAGCCAGAAAAACTAGGCTCAAGTGCCAATTCTAGCACGATATTTTAAAAAGCACTTGGTAATAAATATCTGACATGACGCCAAGTTATTGATCATCTCTAAGCCTTTGGTGTGCTCATCCTTAAAATGGGTCTAAAAGTAACTAATTGACAGGCATTTTGTACAGAATACATACAATTAAATAAAGTATTTGAATACGACTGACTTTATTTTACTTGCTTTAGTAATTTATTTTGTATTGTCTTGTAATGACTATTCAGATATATTTTCATTGTTCCGTGTATCCTTAATGTGAATGCTGCAGAGTATAGAATACTTGCCCTATGTTTTTATATGAAATCTACCTTGGTTTTGTGTTTTGTTTTTTTCCTTTTGGCTATTGTTGTTGTCATTGCTGATGTTGACAGAAGAAGCCAATTGACTAATCCCCAAATGTAGGTATTACTCATCCTCAATGAAAACAGCTCACTCGATCTAGCATCGTCTTTCTAAAGCTTGAATCCTACTTACTCTCCAGGAGAGGATTAACCAATTTTTTATTGCTGCTTGGGTTCTAAGTCCAATGGGTTATTAAGAATTTCCTTGTGAATTATTGAGGATTATTATGGAAAAAGTGAAGGCAATAAAATTTAAAATAAAGAGAAAAGTTAGAAATCCAGGAAAGACATAACGGTGTTGTGAAGAGAGACTCCGGAACCAAGGCCTTTTCGCTTTATTCCTGATCCCAAAGAATTCTCAGATAGCCCATTGGGCCCAGTGGACTGAGAGAAAGACCATCAGCAGGGACACTTTTAGAGTGCCCAGGAGACGTGTTTGACCAGGACATTATCTGTGTGTCCTGTCTTCACAGGAATGGAAACTTCACAACCCCTGATCATCGCCTGTTCCCTCTTGCTGTTGAGTGAGAGCAGGAACCTACGTCTATCTGGATATTCCATCCCTCCTTCCATTATCCCTTAAAGATTCCTCCTCCGGTAACCTGATGGATGCCTAGTGAACGTCGTGTTGGGCTCTCATACCTATACTTTGGGGTTTAACTGAGCAAACTAAAGTATCTTAAGCTAAAAAAAGAGGGAAGTGGACACCTGTTATATAACCAAGAAATATAACCTTTTGAACAATAGACTTTTATTGGCAAAATCTTGAAGTGGACTGGTAAAATATTAAAACACATATTCATGACAGGCAAGCTAACTTCCAAATGTTACGCAGAGTTCTCTTGAATATTGTACTCTTTGAGTGGGTAGCACTTAGTATCTGGCTAGTAAATAAATGCCAAAATAAAGTGACTGGCATAAAGACAAAGAATAGTTCACAGAGATATACAAAGGGTAAATCAGGACCTCTGAGCCTACAAAATAAGAAATCAGAATCCCAAACCAGAGTCAGTATATAGAATCAAACTGTGTTGTTAAGAAAGGTGTTAGTCCATTATCTCCTTCAGCGCTGCTCTTCAAATGTGTTTAAACTAACTGGGAGCTTCAGGAAACTCAAAACAAGCCAAAGATAAAGTCCAAAGTTGGCACCTAAACATACATATTTCCAAAACAAGTTTCTAATGGGAATAAGCCCTTGAAACACACACCCACACATTCTCACACACATATAAACATCAGTTTCTGAATCAGTTATTTCCAACTTTTTGATAATATAATTAATAATTCTTCTAGAAATGCTAGAAGTTCGAGTCCATATTTAAGAAATGAGTAAAAAATAATTCCTGATTTCTTAAGCAAGATGTTCTGAACCTAGGAGACAGATAACTAAAGATAAATTCTGAAAATAAGCACTGTATTGGAGAGAGAATTAAAGTTTTAAAGTAAATTGTACTGAACCATTACATGGGATGTGGACACCAACACTGAGCTTGTCGGAAACACACAAATCAGTGGATTCTGCTTAATCAGACAGCTAAAGTGCCCTTTATAGGCATCCTATTTCAGTTTGCTGTCTCTAATGGTGGGTAATATATCTCTAGTTCCGTGATACACTGAAAGTAACAAGATGCATCGTGTACTCTCTATACAGTAATTAAACTTCTACTTATCCATTCAAAAGAAAAATGATTGGACACCATTAAAAATCAATTTTTACTCATCTCATCTTAGTTTTAACCTTTTGGTGTCAATGATACTTTAAACAATTGTAAAAATCAAGATTTTTTTTAAGGTGAAAAGAAGCTTGTTGAAATATGGGATTTCGGGAATAAAAATCCTCTGTAAAGGTAGTTTTAATGCAAGATATACCAAACTTCAAAGACATAATAATGAAATAAAAAATATAGCTTACAACGTATTGTAAATGACATTGTAAAACTTGCAGAGAATTATTTTATGAATAGTTCACTACCGATCGTGAGTTATATCAGATTTCTGGCAGCTCCATTAAAGAATATTTGAAAGGTCAAAGAGTAATCACTGTACCAAGTGGGTACTGACACTCAGTCAACCCAGAACAGAAGTTTCCAAGCCTGGCTTTGCATTCAGGTCACACGAGGCGCTTTTATAAAAACTTCTATTACCAGGATCTACTCCAGAGACACTCATAAAGTGGCTCTGGAGTGAAACCTAGGATTCTGTGGATTGTTTTTTGCTTTTTGAAATTAACAAGATTATATATATGATGCAGCTAGATTCCAGAACCACTAGCCC